GTAGCTTTGATCTGGTTCTTCACATGGACGCGATCTGTTCAAATGTTTTTATCTAAGCCGCTGGTGTAGATGAAGAGCAAAGACTCAAGACAGGTATCCGGTATCAGGTATATGATGCGGGTCAGTCATGTCAGATGTCACGAGTCACTAACTGTGTACTTTGGAGACTATAGAGCTGTGTTGGGCTTCAGTGATCAGTGATACCGTGACACTGTACCTTGTCTTTGCTTTGTTCTTGACCCTGGTCAGTCATGCGATCGATGCAAATTTGCCTCTCACCTGGACGTGTCTTGACAGCGAGCTGACCAACGACACGGGTGTGAACACTCGGACACTCCAAGACTTGCAGAAGTTTTTGGCTTGCGGGCAAGTTTGCAAGAAGGTTTCCTTCACCAATGACGAGATGTCCAATTTGAAAGCAGTCATCGGATCCAACATCTACACTACCAGGGCCTCCCTTGCTTTCAAGCACAACAAGGTTCTCAGGCAGCTCCTCTGGGGTTCAGAGTCTGGTGAAAGTAGCGAGTTTGGACTAGGCAATCCCTACCATTTTTTCTGGGCTGCAAAAGCTTCCTGACTGACCTGCCGGCCCCATCGATTCATTCATCCCCACTTAGGATCTTGGACCAGATTTATCTTGCTGCTTTGGGATTTTGTTGCTGCCCCTCAGGAACATCTTCGAGAAGGCAACCAAGATCACGAAGAGCCTCCTTGATTTGAAGTCGGCAGCGTCTACGGCCAGTGGGCTTGCAAAAGGTATTGAGGCTTTGAGCGAGCGCATCAATAGCCAGGTGCGGCCAAGTGAATCAATTGTGGAGGAATTCAAGAAGCTGTCTTCCGTGGGTGACTGCCAGCAAATGCTCAAGGATTCTCCGTCTTTGAGCGACCAGGACAAAACCAATTGCCAGAACTTGGATGAAGCCATGTCAAAATTCACTGCCATCGTTCCAGAGTCTTCCAAGTCTTTTCCAGACTTCGTCAGCTTCCTGAACGCTCAGTTCTTGGTACAAAGTGGAGACGCCCGAACCATGGAGTTGAAGGCAAGCACTTCTTCGTTGGCAAGCGAGCTTGCTGCTCCGTTTTACTCAGGACTGGGTCTGGCGATGTGGACAGTACATGTACCGTACCGACTACTGTACAGGACAGGACCAATCTTTTTATTCGGAGATGAAAGGAGATTATGCAATTGTTAGATTTGGTTTTCTTGATGCCCTGATTTGTTGAGAGGTTCAGCTCAGGAACAACCTTTCTTTAGGTTTGCTTTGTAGTAGTAGCACTAGCAGGAAGCTGACATTGACATGCTCAAATGACCAAAATGAATCAACTGAATCATACTTGCGATGCCAGTATGCCCTGTTTGTTCTCAGTCCTCCTTCAAGCGGGCAGTCACACTGTTGCAAACATTTATTATTGCCAGCCTGAGCAGGACTGGCCGGAAGCTTGATCTTCAAGAAGGGCTCTGCAAGGCAGCAGTCAATCGCTTTCTTGACCAGTAGCATGGTGACCGAGTTTGTGCAGTACTCCAACATGGCGGTGGCACCTCGTGTCACAGATTCTTTGTTGATGTGGCAGAGATTGACCAAGATGATTCAGAGCATTCCTGTCTCAACAGAGCATGGCACCAGCTCTGATGACCAGAGCCTCAAGCTAGCAGAAGATGTCATGGAAGCCAGCTCACACTTCATGACACGGTTGGAGATGACCATTGTTGAGAATGGCAAAATCTACATCTTGGATCTTGCCAAGAAGAAGGGGGCCAGAAAATCCGTGGAATACCTGGGCAAGGAATTGGCCGGAGTGCTTCCATCAGGGCTGGAGAAGGTGTTGCACTCTCTTCGAACGGGTGCGTCATGGACTGAGCAAGCTCTTGACACTTCATGGTGTCTGGAGGGTGACATGCCAGTCACACCAGAGGTGCTGCAGCGCTTCCAGCAGCATTTGCCCACGTTCACGAAGTTTCATGGCTTGGACTCTGGGTTCTTGGAGCAAACCATGCCAGATCAATTCGAGAAGGCCAAGATGTTCCAGAAGAAGTTCATTGCGAGCTTGGCAAAATGGGTGAGTGACATGGAAAGTGACCTCTCTTCAGGATTTGGGGTACTGGACAGCCTGAGGCAAGAGAGCTGTGCCAAATCATGTTTGAGTTTGCAAGAATATAGGGACAAAGACATTGGGACGACTGTTCGTTGCTTCTTGTTTCTTGTTGTGTATTGGGCAGCACAGTCCTTTTGACCCTGCTGGGCCAGGGACGTGACCTTTTGCTCATTGTGAGGGGTAGACAAAGTCTCGTCTCCAAATTTGGTATGTCCTGCCATGCTGTATGTAACGTATGATAGTAGTGATCAGCGACAATAATTTGATATGATATTCTATATAATATACCGATACCGTGTACCGTGCGGGAAGTCAATGTTGTGTCCACTTAAAGTGTTGCCCATGCTGAGCACTCATTTCAACATAGTCAGCCAACCTTTTACCCCAGCCATCAGGCCTCTCCTGGTGGCAATGGAAAGCTGGGAGATTGGTCCTGTGCAGTGGATCTACGACAGTAAGAAGGAGAACGAGGACAAGTTGCAGCTGAGCCAGGTTCAGGAGTTGCGAGACACTCTATCCCTTCAGTTGCCTTTGCTCAGGGCCTTGATTGCTTGCAAGGCTCACTTGGGTGACACTCTTGCTGAATGGGGAGGGCAGGACTTGGCAAAGATCCAGAAGAGGGTGGAGGACAGAAAGACGGGATAAAAGAAGGGACTGGATAGTCTTGAGTCAGACTCACAGTATGTTTTTTCTTGTTCAAATGGACAAAGACCTGGCCAAACGTTAGTTTCAGGATCGCTAGGGACAACAAACAACATCGATCAGGTGTTACAATGTTACCATGTTCTTCCAGGACTTTCGGACTGATTCGGCTATGATCCTTGGAACCCTTGTGGTGTCCGACTTGGTGGTAAACAAAGATGAGCGCGACAAGGCCAGCCACACCCAGGCATTCCAGTTCCTGGCGTCCCTGGGTTTGAGCAAGAGTGACTTGGCCCCTGAGTTGAAGCAGCGGCTTGATGCTCTCAAGCCTGGTGCTGCAAAGGCCGAGGATGCCAAGAAGAAGAAGCGCAAGGAGAAGGAGGTTGAACCCAACGCGGACGAGACCGTCAGCAAGCGCCGAAAGAAGAACGACAACAAGAAGCGCAAGACCCACTAGTTGATTCAATCGTTTCTGTAGGCCATTGGATTTCAAAGGGATGGAAAATTACCTCCCTTGGGAGGGGTCTTCAGCAGATGTCAACTGGCCCAGAAAACTTAGATCCTGCAATTGAAATTGCAATACTTTTCCAATTTCAGTCTCCATTGAATCAACCCCTCACTTCATCATTGGTTGGTTCAAGTGACTTGATTCAAATGGGTAACTGGCCACAAGTTCTGCGACCCTCCACTGTTTTGATCATGGGCTTAATGGGGGCTTGACACTCATTGGAGTGTCTTGACATTTGGTGCTTGACCTTAGTCTCTCGGTCTTGCACTTGGACGTCACAGACTCAGATGGGCTGAAAAGTTTGCGAAGTTGCAGCCCGATACAGTCAGGGACACACGGCATCGGGCACCTAAACTGTGAACTCACCTGCTGACCCCCGGAAACAGTCGTTGCAATGTGACTCAAATCCACAAGAATTTCAATCTGAAGAAAAAACACAAGGACCACGGACCATGCCATGGACCGTGGATGAGATGAGATGACTGGACCATGGATGAGATGACTGACTTCAATTTTGTTTTGTCAGGGATAAATTGCTGAATGTGTTGGTTGTCGTAGCGTCCACGTCATGTTCAGTTTCCTTTTTCCTTCTCCCATCGTGTTTCTTGTCATGGTTATTTATTCTTTTTGCTTTGACCCTGACAACCGGCAGTTATTTCGTATGCTCACAACATTGCCCTCCTGACTCCTGGTGTTGCCAATGCCACCAAAACAAACTATTGGTTTGGCTTTGCATGTGGATTCTAGATTAGTTGTGTCCTATCTTAGCAGAGGCATGTCTACACCAGGTTTACCAAACACAACAATCCAAACTGTATCAACCGAGTTTTGAAGTGTTTCTTGTTTCTTATCGCTGTACCACTCCGACTCCTATCCATCCTGTGACCTGTGTGTTTGCCTTCTTCAAGTTTACTCAGAACTTTGATCTTCTAGCATTTTGGCTGCTTCTTCTCACTGTTTTTGGAGCAAGTGTTAGTCTGTGTTTGTTTCTTATGATTGGTTTGTCTAGTGCAGCTGCTTTGTCCATTGCATCAATGGTTCCCGGCTGTGTTTGTTTTTGTTATGAAGTTCTGCGGTTGTTCTCCGGTCTGATGTTCTGTTCATTGTCCTAGTTTCCTCTTTGCTTCTATTTGTTTCTATGACTGAGTGACTAGTTCCAAGTTTGCTTTTCCCATTTATCCTCTTTCCCTTCCATTTTATGAATGGTTCCTGGCTTTCTCCCGTTTTCCATGAACAGTTCCTGGTTTTGTTGTTGAGAATTATGAATAGCTCAGTATTATTATGAATAGTTCCTGGCTTTGTCTTTCAATTGTATGAATAGTTCCAGGGATTGTTGGGTCATCTTTATGAATAGCTCCTAGGGTTTTATGAATAGCTCCTAGGGTTTTATGAATAGTTCCAGGGATTGTTGGGTCATTGTTCTGAATAGCTCCTAAGGTTTTATGAATAGCTCCTAGGGGCTCACTGACAAAGAAGCCAGTGCAGCTCCCAATGTAAATGCATTAGGCTTTGGGCAGGAGCAGGAAGTGGTGAGCACCCACAGCAAGAAGCATTGGTTGCATCATGTTGCATCTAGATATACACCTATGCAACTGATGCAACCATATGCAACCAATATAGCATACGACTAGTGACTAGTTGTAGAGTTGGAACAGTAATTTATTATATATACATGCCGTGGCGTGTCAGTACCATCCTCAGGTTTCAGTGCCAAGAGACCTGGCTTCTCCAAACGGTGAACATGGCCCGCTCCAAGGCCACAAGCAGCGGACTTTGCCGGCACGGCCGCTCGCCTGAAGGGTCGCTTTGCGGTCGATGTGCGGTTCCCTTACGGACTTGACCAAGTTGTTGGTTCGTCATCAGGGTTGAGGATGAGGATGAGGAGGATGAAGGTGGGTGAGGAGTAGATAGAATAGCTGCTTTTTAGCAAGCCAATCCGGTTTCCCAATATCCTATCTACTCCAGGTTGATGAATGATGGCAATGACAAGTTCTACAGCTCAGGCTGCCACCCCTAGCAACGCTGAACTGGCAGCCTCACTTGGAGGAGAAGTCGCTGTTACGGTTCGTGTTGACGCACTGGATCTAGTTATTTAGGCGTGTTTTGCTCAAACCGTCTTAAAACATTATCTTAATGTCAACATAGGATTAACAACCCCCCCCCCTATTAGTCTACCCAGCGTTCAGGCCCCAACAATAAACTAATTTGAACTATGAATTTCCACAGTCACCACCCTCTAATAAAAATTTTGCTTGGCTGAACCCCCTCCCTATTAGTCTACCCCCTGTCCCCCCAGGAAAAATATATTTATTCAAATATATATATATATATGTGTTTAATTAATTTTGTTCTTTTTGCCTTTTCAATATTTTCTCGTCTTGCCATGGTGAAACTGATCTTCTGATTGATTACCAATGCTCTCCCAAAGCAACAGTGTTCCTAGAATTTCCAAAAACTCTCTAGGAAAATTCTTTCATTTTCCCTTATTAAAACTCTATCAACATCTGCAATTTGAGAAGCTCAGAAAGAGTACCCCCCATACACCCCCTACCCCCCTCTAATAGTGTGGTACCCCCCCCTATTAGTCAACCCCATCCATGATGAGCTCTCATGGACCTCATGATGAAAGGGCATTAGTATTTGGGCTCTCATGGATCTCATCATTCCATCCCAGCTCTTCCAAATACTAATTCCCTTTAATTCCAATTCTTCCAAATACTAATTCCCTTTCATCCCAACCCTTCCAAATACTAATTCCCTTTCATTCCAATTCTTCCAAATACTAATTCCCTTTCATTCCAATTCTTCCAAATACTAATTCCCTTTCATCTCAATTCTTCCAAATACTAATTCCCTTTCATTCCATTTCTTCCAAATACTAATTCCCTTTCATTCCAGTTCTTCCAAATACTAATTCCCTTTCATCATCAGGTCATCCACTATTAGGGGGATGTGATCTCCAAAACCTCCAATCTCAGACCTTGTTGACCTTCTAGGGGGGGGGGCGGGGGGACCCGTTGATTAATACGACGTCGACATTAATGACTACCTTGAGTCTCCAATGGCCATCTTTAAGTCGCCTTTCCAAGAAAAAGAGATTTCTGAAAGAAAACACATGATTTTGCATATTTCACGAAATGTTCATTTTTTGGTTTGTGCCCTGTCAGATCCTCCTTAGTGTCCCGAGACCTTTTTCCGGCATCCCAAAAGGTGTTTTTACGCATCCGCACCGGACGCGTCCGGATGACGATTCACTCTGTATCTTCTTTTGAGTCCTCATCTCTGAAAACGTGTTTTTCGAGCAAAAACACAAGAATATTAGACCAAAAACAAAAACGCAGAAGAAAAGGTCTTTGGAGACTCAAGGTATATACTGTAGGTGTTAGTATGTTTCTATTTGCACATGCGTTTGTTTGAAGGCTTTATTGGTTTGAGTTTTGGAGGGCAGTAATGTCCAAAAGGAGTCGAGACAATTCTGGGTGGTGATTTGGATGTTGAAAGGTTGTTTATTTGTTCATCCCTGTATGGGAATGCTGATTGTATCCCATTGACTGTCATAAAGTGTTAGATTAATTATATACTGTACACATATATATATATATGTATACACGAGGAGCATACAATCATATGTGTTTACTTTGAAGGCATGGGGTTTGAGCCAGGGTTTGGACCGGCTCTCATGCAGGAGTGGGCCATGCCGCTGAGTGTCTCAGCTTGAGAGTCGGGTCAGGAATCCCTTGCCTCATTGCAAGCAAGGAATGAAGAGCTCAGGATTCCAAAGTATCAGAACACTGAGATATTCAAACCTCAGTGACTTGAGGCCCAGTGACCCTGCTGCACGAATCACTTGTGTCACGACCATGTGCCACGAGGCCTGACCGGCATGCAGATCCTTTTGGTGACATGGGCATGTTCGACAAGCCGCCGGAGTTCAAAACCAAACGGAGAAGAGAGCGGCCTGCAGATTGAGGACAGATCTGAGAGATGGAGCACTCCATTCTTCAGACGTTTGCAGGTGACGTGCAGAGGACTTGTTTTTGATGCTTCAAGCGGAATCAAGCCACAAGAAATCGAGTTGAGACGAGCTGGCACGTCTAGCCAACTCACCAAACAGTTTGTGGTTGTTTGACTGCCATCCATGTGGGTTTTGCCGCAGTGAATTGTTGCTAGTTTACCGCGATGACTCAGATGTAGCTGTTCATGAATCTATACAATGATATTTCATAGCCTGCGATCGAGTTGATCCCGGAGTCAGCCAACATGTCAATATTAATGATGACCACTGCATGCTTTAGAATCATCGACTATTTGGTCCTGTCCTGGCCGATTGGGTGGCGGGGAGGCTGCAGTCTACAGCTGAGCTGCTGCACTGGCCGCCCTCTAACTGGCTCCTTTGTGAGTGTAGCATGGGATATTCCCAGGTTTTGTAGGATTGACATTCATGGGTGCCGGACCGGATATTTGTTGATGAGACTATATACGTGCATGTAGTTGCATTGAAGGCCTTGAAGAGGATTGATGTGGCTGAGTTTTTGGTTGTAGGGTCCCATGGCTTGTGATCAGTACAGTAGGTGTTTGTCGCGTATCACTTGATTAGCCTTATGACGCCCGCAAATGCGTGAGCGATCAGAGTGCATCCCTTGAAGGGCTGCCGTGAGCCGATGCCCGGTAATGGAATAAGTCCCTTGCGTGTGCCGAGGGCAGGTCACAGGAGGCTGGTGAAGCCAGGCTTTGATGGGACAAGATCCAACAACCTTCACGAATGCGCAGAACCATTATGTATGATTCATATCTTATATTCTTATATATTTATTCTCATGGAAGAGTGACCTTCAGCACACTTGTTGATTTGTTCAGTCAAAGAGCTGTGCTATATATGTGTCAGCAGGACCCCTAATTGATTGATTGCGGCTGTACGGGAAGATTTCTGTTGCTCAGCCATGGAATCCTTGGACAGACCTCGCAGAAAAAGATTTAGAATCAACCCAAGAAATGGAACAGAAGCACTGCCGAGCACAGCCACTCACTGCTACCTGAAAACCGTTCAAAAATACCATGTTGGATTGAATCTCTCCCTTCCAATTCTGCCACAGTCATTCATCGCCTGAGAGGTCAGGGAGTCCGATGACGATCCTCCCGTCGATCACCAGTACTGCAACGCTGGCGCAAGGAGCGCTCCACCGCGACAACGTGGAGCGACAGCGACAGGGCGCGACGACATGGTTAGTTGGGAGGGTGAAGGGGTGAAGTTGTTGGCCTCCACCTGATAGCGTCCGAACGCTACGTTCGTAGCGAACCTTGTTCCTAGTAGTGCCAGGAGCTACGTTCGTAGCCTCCTTGCTCCGTTCGTAGCGATGCCCTTTGTTCCCAATAGCGTCCTTGCTACTAGTAGCTGAGGTTTTTGAAGGCCAACGACTAGGTTCTTAAAAACCAATTGTTGAAGGCCTTCGATGCCTTGCTGAGGTTTTAACACGATAGGGTTGGCTAAAACCATTCCACCAATGCTGGGGTTCGTTGTAACATGACATCAACAACCCATAACAACCCCAAAACAGACCTTCAACCAACCATAGCATTAGTTGTGGGGGCTTCCCTGTTGGCTGGACCATGCGACTTTCTGGCTGTGGATCGTGGGACTGCGCTGTGGCCGCCTGTGAAGCATGTGTTTGGGGCAAATGTTTGTTGGAAAGCTCCGCCGTTTCGTGTTGCTTTGCCAGCTTTGCTTTCGGAACCTTTGGAGACAAGAAGATCCTAAGGGATGAAGATGTTCATCCGAGATGTCTCAGGACATGTGTACCACACTTCCTCGATGCCTCCGCGCAGCCGGACCTTGTCCCCGTCACCTGGGCGGAACGCGTCGGGTGGTTGGGTCCACGGGAGGCATGGGGAAGACCGCGACAGGGCGTTACTTAGGCTTTGATGTTGACTTAGCAGCTTAGCGCTAGCAGTGCGCTAGCACGATGCTGGCAATCAACCAAGCCGGTGACCAAAAAAGACGAGAAGACCACCAATCCTAATATTCTGGGGTTCAGACATCCACGCAGACACTTCTTCACAAGTACTTATACAATCCATTCCGAAAGATTCCATGAAGCCACTAGATGTAGAATGGGTAGCACCGTCCCAGCTCGTACCCCATTGCTCCGGTCACTTCACTGAGTAGCATCCCTCCTGTTGCCTCAGGTGGACAACACTTAACTCTGTTGAGACTGGCCCTTTACCATCAACACATTGCGTTGAACATGTGGACTGCGGTCCGCGGTCTTTGGGAAACCCTTCAACACAAAAATCAACACACAGTTCGTTGCCATACCTTTTGTTGAGGTCCATGGATACGACAAACCCAATCACCAAGGAATGTATCCCACCAGCAGGGAATTGCCATGTTTGGGACCTCTCACAAAATTTATGAGCTTCTACAAATCTCACAAACATGTATTTATATAATATCCTTACACACCTAAGCTATCACCTCTCACATGCCTCTCACACTGCTGTTGATTATATATCCAAATGAAATCAAACGCACGTCATTCAATTTCAGTCACTGAACTGCAGTCTCCTCACCACAGTCTCAGCACTTTGCCTCGCTTCTCGCAGATGCAAACTGGGATCAACAACGGGGTGCATGTTCGAGGTCTACATCGGTCAACTGTGGGTCAAACCTGTGTGTACCTGGTTAACCAACGACAAGAGAAGGGCAGCAGGCCCTATCATCGTTATTAAACATGTAGTAGATGACTAGTGGCAGTTTGACTCTTGACTCTTCTCTTTCCATTGGTGAAGGTTTCTGTGTTGATGTCCGCTTTATAAACTTCTATTCTCATCATCGGTCACTCACGGATTCGCAGATGCACAGATGGAGCCCACAGATGGTTCGCTTTTGGTCGCGTTCCTCGGCCGAGCCTGAGGAGCGGCTTGCCCAGAGATCCGTCACTTAGAGAATCGCCTGGGAGCCCGGAAGACGGAGCGACACGAAATCAATGGATAATGGATGGTGGGTCAAAGCCATTGTGTTAGGCAGGTGGGGCGGACAAAATACTTTATTTATATTTATTTATGATGGTCATTCACTTTCATTCAGGGGACCCATGGCCCATTCATTTTGCTGTAGCTAGCTCAGTAGCCACTCCTATTGTTTTTAAATCAATTGTGATGGTTGAAACTACTTTGTACTTTGTACTCATGCTTTTGTGTTTGCCTGAGTGATGTCTTGACAGAAGTTGTTTGGACATGTCTATGATGCCAGCTGGCATGGTGCACATAGAGAGGGGGAAACAGGTTGTTATTGTTCTTCATTCAGATTCCAATGTAGCCTTTCGCCAAGGCTTTGTGTTTTGAACCGGTGCTGACTGAAGAACATGAGACACGGCGAGACATGTGTATAGCATATTATTATATATACTGTATTCCGTTTTTATTTCCCCGGCTGTTTGCCCCTCTTTGCAGGGCAACAAGCTTGTAGAGTGGGACAGTAGGGCCATGAAGACACCGATAACCATAGTGATGGCTCCAGCATTTGAGGGTTGCTAGCTTTCATTGCACTCTTGTTCCGGTTGTTCATACAAGTGGGATTACACAAATATACACCAACATCCATCATATAAACCAATGTTTAAAGTCAATGAGAGATCAACCATGCAGCTACGAGTTGAACAACCATCAAGAATCCAACCGCGGGATTGACCCTGACTCTCCCTCCATCGGATTAAGATGTAAGTTCCCAGATTATTTTACTTGACAGAACCCACACGAGCTCCAGGCAACGAAGTCGGACGAGGACTGGTTTGCGTCGGTTTTCGTCATGGTCCATTTGGCGGGTTGTTGTTTGGGTGTTTTTCTTCACTTCCCAGGCGCTTGGAGGCGGACGGCAAAACCGTAGAGTTTGAGTTGCTTCAGCGCTCAAGACATTTCAGGAGTACTGCTACGGTACCCAGAGAGTGATTGTTGGAACTTACAGGGTTCGCGGCCAACTGGCAGACCTTCCTGTTGTTCAATAACAGCTTTGAAAGGCGGATTAGACCCAATCATCCTTTAATCATTTTTAATCGAATCCTTCCCTAAGCACATACAGTGCTTTGGATGGTGAGCTGCAGGACGGAGTGGCTTGGCTCAGCGCTGGCCAAGGAGTCAGGCCAGCTTGAAGTGGAGAAATCTGGCAGGTAAGAATCCCTAAGCGTGTCATAGAACGATGTTTTTGCGAAGAAACTTTTGCTGACATGGTTTGATCTTGTCAAAGTCGGATTCCCAGAGACTTGAACCCTTTTTCAAACCACGAGGTGGGGACCCTTCCCAACTTCCCATGCGATGAAAGGAGGGGTTTCTGATCAAACTCAGTGATGGGCGATAGGCGATAGGCTTAAGGGTTACTTTAAAGAGCTTTGTCCCATTGTTACAAGGAGTATGAGAAGGCAGAACAAACATCACAGTTGTATTTTGGTAGTGCAGTTGATACCGGTTCCCCTTTCTGAACGCACCCAACATTCACCGGTTTTGTAGATCTCGCATCGATCCCTTCCGTCGCGATCCAGGTGAGATCCGCAACATCCACGTGCGCGGACGCCCGTGAAAAATCGAGCGAATGTGGCGACGACATCGTTTCAACATGAATTTAAGCTTAGCAAGGAATGTACATGAGCGACTGACAAAATTATGATTTACTTTCTTGACCGAACCCATGTGCGAAGGTGTTCATCAATTGCCCCATATGCATTATGTTGAACATAATTGAATGGATTGTTTTCCGGAAAACATTTCCTCGGAAATATCCCAAATGATGATCCAAACGATGAGCAAATGCTAATGTAAATGTCATGCCAGGCACACTGCAAACCGACTTCCAAACATATACTAGCTTTTACTGTATGCATGTGCCGAGCTCCCAGGTCTCCGCTTTTGTGTCGTGATCCTTGCACAGCCCACTGCCAAAAGAACCCAAGCACATAAAATGACGGTTTTCTTTCCATTTGCACAGGAGAAAGCACTGTAAGCCTCTAACCTCAGCTTTTGAGTTGGCTGATGTGTTTTGTGTTCAAGTCTATGTGCAGGTATGCTATCTAAGTATGGTTTGAGGAAACTGTTGGAAAACGATATGCGCCCCACCAAAAATGATCGAACGATATGGACCCCACCAAAAATGATCATCACGTCAAAAGGTGTTTATTAATATTGCATTTACTATATGCATGTAAGTACAGTACTGTTTGCGTGTACTCTTAATATCTACAATTACGTATGCAAACATTATCATTGGCTTATAAACCTGTCAATGCGTACACACGCAAAACATACACATTTGGCCCTGCGAGGGGGAGATCAGAACACAAGCACATCGAACAATCCAAGTATGTACAGACAGGAAGCGCCAACAAATACGGACTGCAGGTCTGACTTGTGGAGCACAGCACCAGCATCCTGATCAAATCATGAGCTTTGTGACATATTCCCTGCACTGGCCGGGATGGGGGACCGATGAGGGGGGGGGCATCTTAAAGTCTTCAAGTATCTCCTCAGCCACTCACAACCAGCGCATGTCATACACGTGGATTCTTGTGGGTCCGCAAGCGGCCTGAGCATGTATGCAAGGCAAGCAGACCGATAAATTTTGCACTTGGAGTCATATCATATTATCCAATTAGTAGCTTGGAAGAGGAGTTCACTGCTCATCACTTTCCCAAATTCCAAAATTCAGAAGCCACGGCTTCATTTGTCCTTTGCACACTCACAGCGCAAAGCTATCTCGGCCAAACACCTAGGGTTTTGGAGCTATCACAGCCAACCATCAACCTCCGAGTTTGGGCATCATCCGGGAGAACTTGGTGATCGCCTTCCAGGGATGTGGCCTCTTGGCTGGAGTAGCATCCAGCACAAATCGCTCGCCCGATGAAACGATGTTGCTCCGAAAGAGGTTGAAACCTTGAGAAAGTGGAAGCTATTTACATGTGATCCAGGCACTGAAAGATGCTTCATGAGATCCATGAGATGGAAAGGGCTCAGAGAATAGGATGGTCTTGGAATGGCTATCGCTTTTTCATCGGTTTCGCTCAACCCTGCCCAGGCTGATCCTGGCAGGTATTTTCAGCAGTTGTAGTTCAACACTGTTGTTTTTGTTTACCCCAGACTGCTTGCTGCTGTTCAGCCGTTCAGAAGCAGAAGATATGACTGTGCTTGCTGTTAGCCAATTTGTTGCACAACATATCCCTTGCATTCAAAAGGTCCTATTTAAACATGATCGGAATTTCACATGAGCAATATGTTTCATGTCTTTTTAAATGATTCGTTTGGAAGCGGGCTGCGAGCTCGCACCATACTATGGTGATTCTGCAAGTCAGCGCCAAGTTGGCGCTCTGGTTTTGATAATATGAGCACGATTTGTTGGCAGGTGTGTGTGTGTGTGTGCGTGTGTGTTGCCAAAGGATTTTGCACCATGAACTTCATCCTCCTCCCTTCCCAGCAGCTATAGCGCCGCATCCAGCAGCTCCAGATACGGCACACCTTTCAAACCTGGATGTGTAAAACACCATGTTTGTTTGGTTTGGTGAAGCACGACAGCCGCCCATGTGCAAGGAGAGGTGTTGCTTCCCCTAATGGAGACGATGCCATACCACGCCCACGAATTGAAATGCGAGAGCTGTTCAAAAGCTCGTAGAGAGGCGCCACATATAAGCAGGTGGTTGACGTTCAAATGATTCCTTTACACAATGTGAATTGGTTTTCCTCACTTTGCCCATCAAATCCTTGAATAATAAGTCACTGTGACTGGTATGTTGCTTCCTTTGACAGATGAAGTTGATCCACAACAACATGCATTCTTTACCGGATTTGTGTGGCTGCTGGAAAGGAGCGCAGTTTTCACCACCTTGGCTGGAGAGTATCCCAGTGCTTACGGTGTGTCCAGATGGTGCAGTGGTGCAGCACGATAGGCTTCTGTTGTATTTAACACTGCAAGTGGTTTCAGTGGCGCTTCGATGTCCTTATGTTCAGCTCAGCAAACCCTTAATTTGTCAGAATGTGGAAACTCTTCCGCCACCAAAGATTGTCATCCCGACAGGGGCCATTGAACCTCCCGCGTCCCAGGCAGGGTCCGTGTCTTCGTGAACAACGAGCACAGCTTGGATGCACAGCTTGGGGGATCTTGGGGGTGTTGAGACGTCTGAAATCCAGGCAGAAATGCAGAAATCTTGGATCCAGGCAGACGTCTCGGTGGTTTTGCACTCGTGTTCCACTCATCCCGCTCTCGTCGACCATTTTGACAAGCCGTTTTCACGCGGGGAGGGTTCCCCGAGGTCTCGAGCTTCCGGAGACCAACCGCCTCAGCAACACCTCGCCCTTCGGTCTGGGAAGCCCAGTCAGCCCTCTCTACTGTACGTATGACGACGCGGACGTCCTTCTCGACGGAGGCGTCGTCCTGAATGGACTTCGGTTGGTTTGGGAACCTTGCGTGCCCAGGATTGGTTGCGTCATGAGAGGTCCTGAACAGTGCGAATTTTGGGATTGAATCTGCAGATCATGATCCTTTGCCCACACACCACCCCAGCTGGATAGCTACAAGCACAGCTACCAGGCGTATGGACCGTGCAACGAGCTCTGTTCAGGGCGAGCTCAGTTGCAAAAACACGCAGAACCCACCAGACTGTAATAGGTCCAGCACAATCACCTCAATCCACTGTGATCTCTTCGGATTGGAAGGGCTACCGCGTGCGGAGGGGCTGCTCCGCTTGCGGATTACATCATCAAACACCTACCTAGCCATCCCTTATAAACATAATAGTTTTAATAGTTGGACTGTTGTATTTGTTGTCAGCAGGTGCACCAGTTGAATTGATATATTGAAGATTTGCCACAGTAATTGCATGTACATAGAAGCTGTTGGACTTTTTGTTTTCGAGCAACTTTCAACACATCAATGCAAGTTGGAAGCACAAACGTGATTGTGCACCAACGCGACCTTCTTCATTGATACCCTGGAAACCAGGGCACGATCCGTTTGGTTTGCCGCGTCCTCCGTGCTAAGCTGAGGCATCGATTGGACGAAGAAGTATCGTTGTGGCCTCAAATGAAAAAGACAGACTCTCCATGCGCTGGTGCTTTGCTTTCGTTCAGTGGCCAGCTGAGGCAAATACCTGGCCAACGCTCATGCGATGCGGTTTGCAGAGTTTGAGATCAGGGCTTTGCCAACGCAGGTGCCTCGCAAGAAAGGAGTGTTGTTGAAAGGGTATTTGTTTATTTTGACATGGTTGGTTTGTTCTTTGCCATCATTGGTTCTTGATGGCAATTGCCCACTTAGGGATGCATTCCAACAGCTTTGTCAGCTGTTTTCACAAAGGATTGTCATCTTCAAGACTGAAGTGATCTCTTAAGTGTGCAGGATTTAAATTATATTATATATATTATCAATGTCACCTTTGGCACAACCGTTGGCCACGGTGCCCTTTTGCCGCAAGGAACCAGATCCTGGTGACCGGCCACATCCGTCGCCGGCCTGGTCACCGTCTGAGGTGCTCGTGATCGGAGAGACCGCCACCTCAGATCAGAAGACGATCCCGGCGCAGAAGCCCATTTTGGAGGCCGTAACCGAGAACTCACACGTCGTGAGTGACCAAGTCAAGACGGGAAGAAGGAACCATGTAATGTCCGCCTCTAAACAATAACCCCCCCCCTTGATCAAGTGCGGGCCCCAAATAATGTGAAATCCAGAAAAATCCTAGAAAATCTTGATTGAAATTGGAAATGAAAGGAAAGGAAAGGAGATTGAAGGAAAGGAAATGAAAGGGAAATAAAAGGAAATGAAAGGGAAACAAAAGGAAATGAAAGGGAAATGAAAGGAGAATGAAAGGAAAGAAAAGGAAATGAAAGGAACATATATGGAAAGAAAAGGAAATGAAAGGGAAACAAAAGGAAATGAGACCAGCCAGGTTTGGTTTAGCATTATTTCAGGTCTGGTGTAGTTGAAGGTTTGGGCAGCTTGTGGGGGGTACCCTTTGTGGGTTGATTTCAAACAACAAATGGCAATGCCCAAATAAGAAACTTTAAAAGGAAAATGCAACAGCCAAATCAGAAATCCTAAAAGTTTTGAAACGAAACAAAAGGGTTGACCCTAAACAACCATGGCCTTCAATAAAGCTGATGCTTTTCTACCAAAAGGAAATCTAAAGGGATTTTAAGGGAAACCACCTAAGGAACCAGCCAGGTTTGGTTTAGCATTATTTCAGGTCTGGTGTAGTTGAAGGTTTGGGCAGCTTGTGGGGGGTACCCTTTGTGGGTTGATTTCTAACAACAAATGGCAATGCCCAAATAAGAAACATTAAAAGGAAATGCAACAGCCAAATCAGAAATCCTAAAAACGAAACAAAGCAAGGCAAATCAGAATCAGGTTTGGAAGCAGCTGAGAGTATATAAAATAATATTAAGTTTTGGAGTCAGCCCCAAAAACAAGATCCCAAAAAATATTTAGGGGACATTTATTGGGGGGCATTTATTGTTATGAGGTCGACATTACGGAACACGTTCTTCCCGCCGGGAACTGGTCGAGTTCTTTCTCAGTTGGAATATGGAACATGATGTGAAAATCACCATCACCGGTGTCGTTTCGTTATAGACGAGTTTGAAGCTATGGCATTATAAACATTTAAAATATTCAATTTTATGTATAATTACTACAATAACATGGCCCGTAGGTGTGTTGCACCCCTGGTGGTGTCCGCAATCAAGTACAGCAGCTCATAGTGACTGTCATAGTGTTTGTCTCAATATGTCTCAATGTTTTCTCATGTTTGTGCCGTCTGCCATGCTATACTTGATGCAACCAGATCCCCGCCGCGCTCAAGACTCGCACAAGTGCACCCCTCATGGTCAGAGAAACTCAAAACGCCGCAGATGGGTAGATGGAAAGGAAGCGAGTGCTGTTCATGGTGTTCATCATACGGAGAAGCGCTGGTCGAGTCTTTTTGGTAAAGAAGCTCGAGTAATCCGCAACAGAATTTGGCAATTGGCAATAGCCGGTAGGGCTTAGCTATAACCTCGAGCATCCCTCACCATAGGCACAACCAGCAAGCGGAACTGGCAAGAAACGTATGTTGCATTCTCCACGTGTGCTAAGACATCAAGGCGGAGCGGATCAAACCGCCGCTGCGCTGGACGTTTCCACCCATGATATATATGTATATATGCATTTATTTATTCTATTATATATATATATTTTTTTTTGTTTTGTGTGTGTTTTTGTTTAAATTACTTCTTAAAATAAGTGAAAAGAAGGCTCAAACAGAACTGGCAGACATGTGAACATGTATTTTTCATAGGTTTTGCTTTGGTGACTCTCCCGTTGTGCGGCGGACCTTTGGCGGTTCCTGATGCTGGATGCTGCTGGCCTGGGCGTCGTATGCGTGAAGGTCCGGAAGGCTTCGGCAGCTTAGCTGAAATGATGCGAGTTCCGGACCAAATCTGTGGATATTTGTGGTTGGTTTTTCATTGGAGCTTTGTCGAGCTTTCCCCAAAGTCTTTGTCGGAGCTTTTGGGAGCTGAAGCGATGTTGTCGCTTCGATGGTGAGACGGCCATGCTGAGAGGAAAAGCACATGCTGAGAACTTGGTGAAACATCGATGGCTGTGGCTGGTTATGGCCATGGCTCAACAAGAGCATACCCAGAAAGAAGGACATGTTCTGAACCTCCTGGTTTCGCCACGTCCAGCGCGAGTGGGCCCTGAGGAGCTGAAGCTGATTGTGGACAACTTAAATGATGAGCCACGGCTGAAGGGGATGGTGACAACACATGACAACACTCAGGGTAGAGGGAGGGTGACAACACGGGTGTGTGTGTTTCTTGGTGTAACAGCAGCAAGCCACCAGATGGAAGAACTACACGGTACACACCTGGCGAATCGCCCCTAACCAGGACCCAAAAAAATCCTTTGCACAAGTTGGCGCTTTTGAACTTGGAATTGTCGATGTCAATGCACCACATCAATTGGCCAAACCGGTGTCTCCACCTGGTGTGTTGGGGCCCAGCCGCGCTTTCGTGTTGGCCCACCCAACTTGTCGTAGCACGAACAGCACCTCCTCTTTTGATCGGCAAAGTGTCAACAGACGACAGGAACTGGTGCTGACAACGGACTTGCTCCTGGGCGAGAAGCTCCTGGATGAAGGAAAACAACTGGGGTTGATCGGCCAGGACGCCGCCAAAACTTTGCGCAGCTGAGTTTGTGGTCAACACATTTTGGAGTCGTTTGGAGTGGATAAAATGTCTCTTTTGCCATGTATTTTGAGCACATGTCATTAAAGGACACCCCTTGAATTGGGCAGTTGAGTGCAGCTCAAGAGCGGGTATTTTGTGGTATTTGGGGATACGGGGATACACTTTGGACCTCAAACCAAACCGAATGTCCCTGGTGTTTCGAGAAGAAGTGAACACATAAACAACAAACAAACACAGATGAGTCAACAGTTTAAAGCCGTGTGGAACCCAGTCTGTGTGGAACTAATAATTTGAACCCATTGCAGCAGAGCTTAGGGAAGCCTTGTAAGACATTGGTCTTTCCCTCTCGGCCAGGAGCTGGTTGAGTCACTTCCGCCGCTCAGCTGCGCTTTCCCCAACTGATGAAGAATGCATCATCCCAGGAGACAGACAGTGGGTGTTCATGGTCAAACGACGAGGATGGAAGATGTGACATGTGAGATGACGAGTGATTGGGGGCGTGGCATGTGTTTCATCGGCGTGGAGGTCGAGTCTGCTGTGTCCGGTGCGACAGCGGCAGAGGATGACCTTGGGAAACCGTGTGGCATTCCAATGCTAGTGCTGAAAGCCTCAAAAACACACACTCGGGGTAAAGGACGTACGATTTGGTTGCGCCATCTCCCAAAGGCCTAAGTGAGTAAAACAGGTAATTCTATGGCAATATGATGCAATATGCAAGGCGGCTCCACCATCTCAATGGCCCAAACTTAACACCAATCCAGAGACGAATGCATTTTGCCTTCCATCCATCCAAGTTCCAACCATTTCAAGCTGCACGAATGAACGCGTCGAGCGAACCAACGCAACGGCTGAAGATCTTGTTCTAGCTACAACCAGGGTCCAGCAGGAAGTGGGTGGTCATGATCCTCTCGCAGGTACGTGCAATGTGAGTCCAGATTGCATATCACGGCACACTTGAAGTGTCTTCATTGAGCAGTGACTTCAAGCATGCCTGTCGCTCCCCTGCTTCAACACTGAAGCCAACCGCTCCTATCACTCCAAGGGTTACACACACAGTTTGCTTGAATTCATAAATTTTGGACAGCCAAAGCTGAAGAGATAGAAACACCCAACGGTTGCAGAATTACCGTAGCGAGTTGGTTTCGAGCAAGCTGTTGTTCTGAGGGCCACACAGATGTTCTAAAGGCAGGTTGCACTGATATCCGAGTATAATTGGACACTTCAATGCAAAACTTGGCACCAAAGATCCAGCTGGATCCAGCTCCAAGGCTTCACATGTGGATGAATGGCTCCAACAGCTGGCTGGTAATGTTCAAACATCCAATTATCAGCTGGCTGGCTGGTAATGTTCCAACAGCTGGCTGGCTGGCTGGTAATGCAATTATCAGTTTCTTGGACGAGCACATCTGATTCTTGACCCTCACACGTTTGCCAGATTCGTGACTTCGTGCCCTTCATATCACATAAATTCACATATTTTTTGTGGGTACTGGATCCGGAAACTCCATTGAGCAGACACATGGCCGGACGAAAGTAATTCAAGCAAAAAGATCCTACTCTGAAGCGGCCGGAGACTGGCTAAGGCAATTGGAGCTGAAGATCAAAGAGAAACATTTGCTCAACAGCCAGAGCAGGCAGAGTGCCAAGAGAGCACCATTGATTAGGGGGAAGGACGGAACCTACTTTACTACACTGGAGGAGTTGTTGTCATAAACGTATTTAGCGATCGCTTTGCCATATAAAACAACATGCGATTTGGATTGTTTTGCATTATTTGGGGACGACGAGCTGTTGGTATGTGTTTCTTCTGAAGGGGGTTCGGGGGTGCCGAGCGAAGACTGTCGGAAGCATTCGTAAGCCCTTCGTAAGCCATGTCCTACTACCAAAAAGCACGGCCCTCGGCCCTGAATTCATCATGGTTCGGTGTTAGAGGATGACCTGTGGTCATGCAAGGGTTGTCCACCGAACAGTCATTTTTTCAGGGAGTGTAGTTGAAAAGGGGTACCATGAGTGTGCCATCCATTGCGACATCCCTGAAGAGACGGCTTCGTGCAGGTATGAACCTCCGATTGACCTCTCCTTCTTGAATATGTCCTGCATGAAGGAGAACCAAGTTTGATGTGCGTCATAGCCTGAACCTTGATAGCCTATGTTTGGGAGCGCGATGTCACAGATCGGGATTGCATTTCGGAAAAGGGTGACCAAGCCTTTCTCAGCATGAACGTGGACGTTGGACTACTGACTACGTTGGGCTATTGGTAGTGCAATGCAATGACGGATGTCCTCATCAGTCCCTGCGGGATCTACTGAAGGAATGAGGCACACGCTGCTAGGCCTTTTAAACCTTGATTTAAACCTGTTGAATTGACACAGTTTGTACGTAGTACGTAGCATCAGCATTGGCATAGCATGTGTTTAGCGCAGATAGCACCCCCTGAGCCACAAATGGCGGAATCACTTGCTGAAATCAACTGCACATCAGTGATGAGCAAAAACCATAGACTATACAGTTTGTCAGACCAAATGATGTACAGCACTTTTGATGTTCTTGGAACTCAGTACTCGTAAATGCTTAGGAGATTGATTTGGGAGGCTCATGGTTGGCCAAAACCATGCCAAAGGGTTTAATGTGCGTGATCGCAGTGACGAGCCACCAAGCTACATCATCCAAGAGAGAGAGGTTTGGTTTACTGATCCTTCCTCAATGAGATTGCAACGTTGGAGGACAGTTGCAAGCAGCTCAAGCAGCAGATGCAGCAGCAGGATGAAGATAAGAGGAAAAAGGACCGGCGGTCCTGATGGCGGACGAATTGGGTCCTTCCTATTCAAACCTGTATACATCCAACAGAAACAGTGCCAGTGAGAGTTGAGACGAGAGAGAGGGTCTCCATTAGGGGCTCCATTGGTGGCACCTGGCCACTGCATGTCCCTGTGAAACAAGCTTTCTAGGTCGGTGAAGAATTGAATCGACCCACTCGTAGACAACGGTAGACAAGCATCCCGCTGGTACCGCATCTCGGCGTTCTCAACTGAAGTCCTTAATTTGAAGACACCCAGCACCAGCATCAAGGTATTCTAGAATATTAGATACATGTAGACTTGACTTTTGACGTGAACACCAATTACGTAGTCATTAGTAGGTAGATTCCGGAAGTAATTTCCAATAATTTCCATTGTCAATTGCACATGAGAATGCACGGGACAACTTGAAAGTTTCTGTTTTTGGGCAGGACCGAGACCTCAAGGGTGCATTGTTTGGCGTTCATGATATGGCAGGAACAGGCGGAACTGCAAGCGCAACTAGATGAGGAGGAGATGGGAGAACGCACGGGAGGAAGACGGCCGCGAGTACCATGAGAATGGTCCCGGTTGTTGCTTCGTGATGTTTTGCAGAACCTTGCGGCAGATCGAATCTGCGCGTCCAACGCGTTTTGTCATTTGCACATCGCCTTTTTGCAGGACCTGCGTGAGAATGAGCAACTGCTGCAAGAGGCTGGCGACCTTTCTTACAAGATCCCAGAGCCCCTTGGCCGGATCGGACGTCGGCGGACCGACTCGAAAGCGTTCGGCGGACCGACCCAATCAAGGATGTCGGCGGATCATGCGCGAAAGGCAAAGCAAAGTGATTGTACCTGACGCTGTGGGCACTTGTGGGTATATTTCATTATATATATATACATATCACCTTCCATGAATTGTATTTGGCTTGAGCAAGTTTGGGTTCAGAGGATTTGTATACTATGGCATACTTACAGTGTGATTATTATACATGTAGTTATTATATAATCTCCCTCATACTCCCACTCGCTGATGCATTCTTGGCCGGGTACCTGGTAGAATGTTCGTGGACAAAGCCACAGCGGCGACTGGGTCGGAAGTGCAAAAGCAAGCACGGAGCCATTTTGTTTTTGCCCTGCTGTCCGCTTTTGACCGGAGTCGACGCTTAGTCTCCTTTGGCCAAGACCACTGGTTGGTGATTTCCCTACCAGACCAAAGCAGCCACTTGTGCCTCTAAAAATGCCACCAGTCACTGGTGGCACAAAGAAAGACTTTGTGGAGTGGTACATGAAACTTTGGCTGTGTCGAATATATGAATAAAACTTGAAACTTAGATGGATTGACCCAGCGCCTCAGGAGAGATTGGGTTGCTCCCTGCCAGCAGGAGAACCGGAAGCTTTCGACGAAGCGGGGCCATGTGGGGTGCTGCCAAATTATTGACCGTAAGGAGCCCTAAGTAGCGTCCTTGCTCCTAGGTGTATTCTTGACTGATTGTTGCAGAGAACAATTAAAGTTTCCAAGTTCGGTCGAAGACTCACCCAGGTTCAGTTCGTTTTTGTCGGTTGTTGAGAAGCATTCGGTGTACGCGAATGGGACTTCATACCAAGCACTAGACTGACATGTAAGACTTGGAGCAAGAGTGGTTTGGCAGCTTTGACCCATCAACTACAGCTCAGAGGCTCAGCCCAGTAGGCTGTCCAGCCATGCGCATGGTGCCGGCAGTCCCTAGCTGGCTGCCAAATATCGAACTATTATAGACTAGACCTGAAAGCTAGAGCCATTGGACTACACACTCATTTTCATCAAGATTCAAGATCTCAGATGAGCACCATTTTTCACAGCACTCAGTCATGAGATTCATTGAGTTTCAATTCTTGATCAAGTAATGTTGATACTTTTCACCTCCTTCAAGGGAGGTGCTTGCCAGTCTGGCAGTGCTTTCAGCATGAAAGAAGGACGTGTCAACACTGTAGAAGATCAGACTTGGAAGTTGCTGAACATCCGAAGAAGCAACAGGAAGTTTGTTCATTTGATAGAAATGTTCTTGATGACCATTGCATTGTTCCTCATGTGGATACTGTCCATGTTCATCCGGTTTCTTCCAATCTTGCCTCACAAGTGCACTTTTTCCCGCAATGCCGGGCATGTGTTTTGTGTGTTGCTCAGAATTGAGAATCTGTTGGTTGGCTACGGTTGGCCATTGAGTGGATTGTCAAGTGACTTCCCCCCGCGATGCCCTAAGAGTAGGCCAATCACCCGAGCCACGGCCAATTGAGCGGAGGAGTCCAGCCCCAAGCCATTGGAGCCGGAGGAGTCTTTGAAGATGAAGAAGTCTGAACGTAGATGCTTTGATGAAGAAGTCGGAGTAGACCGTTGAAGCCCCGGCGGTCTTAATACCATTAGATTTAGGACTGATTGTTTGGTACATGCATACAACCATCAGAAGCCCGCTCAAAAAATACAACCAACATTTCTTACTCTTGGGATGTGGAGGTCTTGAGACGTCTTGAGAACATGCATACTTCAGGAGGAAGAAAGTTTGGTGACAGTTCTCTCCAGAATTTAAACAACGTGTGCTTCCCAATGGAATTCCGGCGGAGGAGATTCTACCCCGAACATTGTAATACTATATACCAAAAAATGCATCGGGGCAGAAACTCCCCCACCGGAATTCCACTGAGATTCCCTAAGCCCTAAGTGGAAAAGGTTCAAAGGTCAAGTTTTTGCAGGCTTGCTACCAACTTTGTAAACTCTTGTGTGTATTTCTAGTGGTTCACATTGACATTATATACCTATATACACGGTTTACACTGGTGTTCGTGGTCTACGCTGTGTGCGCCTGAAGATTGGCTTTTGTAGTTAGAGAGAAGGATTGATGCCTTTGCTCCTGAGGGTTTGGGGTCTCCGAGGACATGAAAACAGTGACCAAGGACCAAGGACATAGTGAAGGGGATGCGCTGGCTCTTTTCTATTTTGGGGTTTGTATAGTATAGTCCAATGGACAGCCCAAGAAGAAGGCACTTGGTGTTTTGGGGTCCATACAATGCCCCATGCAGTTCCTGGGGCTGCTACTCAATAGACATTCGTGAGTCTGAGGGTTCACTGGAAAGCTAAAGCGACACATTGACATATATTTTGATTCTGGCATGTTGTGTTGCATTTTGTCGGCACTGAGGAATAACCCGATACATGACTGCGGAGCCAGATGATAGAGGGGTCGTGAAGGCACTGGGGTGATTGCTTTGCCGCAGATCAGTGATGAAATACAGGAAACAGGCGTTGATAGACTTTCATAAGTGCAGGCAGCCACCTTTGATCACATAAGTCATAAGACCAACAGTTTGGGAAACTGATACCAAAACTAATTTCAAAACCTGCCACGATTGATTGAAGGTTTACATCGATGATCCCGACGTGGCGAATGCATCCAAAGAGAGCATTTCAGTGTCGTGTCTTGGCACTGGCCTAATGATGCATCGTGACCCTTGCTCAGGATTGCATGCATATATGCATGAGATGGATGCAAAATTATAAATGAACAGCATTGCAATCACGTTCCTTGTAAAACGCTAGGGGACGGCAACAAAACAGCTATAAAGGACGTCATAATCCTCGTGCCAATTTTCTCCATAAAATGGGGGGATCGACCCCCCCAATAATGAAACTGCCATTAGCAGTACTATGTGCCAGACATTGGACAATGGTCGTAATTTGTGGATGTCAAAATCAAGTTTTCCATTCTATAGAGACGGTCTTTGATTGTATAGTTGTTTTTGTTTTCAACGGTTTTTGTTTTATGTATGGAGTGTTCGGTTTGAGTTGCATCAATGGCATTGAATCTAAAGGGGGTGTTGCTTTTGTAGGGACATGTAGGGACTAGTGACTAGTGATTCTGATTGTATAATGTGATTCTCTCATATGCGTCTCATATGAGCCCAGAGATTTTCTACAAAATGAACACATTTAGAATTCAGCTTTTCAAAGAAATATCTTAACATTTTGGTCTTTCAGCCTGCCCTGAGGCCGGTTCTTCATTTTATAGAGGGTCGTTTTGGGCACTTGTGGCATTGCTGATGTCAAGGAGTGGTTTCCATTTTTTTAGGTGTACTTTTGCCAGCCACGCCTCAGGTTGTTGTGGGCTATCCCAGGGTTGTATCTCCGTTTTATGACTATAGAATGGGGAGCTCAACCCTCACCTGAAATTAATTCACGCCAGGATGCTTCATGTATTTGTTAACAACAAGCGTACATGACATGTTACCTGCTAAGATGTTTAGAGCTCATTTGCTTTTAATTGGAGCGATTTGGCTTCAAACTCGAACAATATTGCAAATCAAGCTTGTTTGTGTCATGGTTTCCTCCAAAGCCAGGTGTATTTGAATGATGCCTCCAGCGACGACGGATTTCGATAGGGGGAACGGTAGCCCCAACTTTCAAGCCCCACTCCCATGTGGTTTTTGAATATTGTGGGTAACAGATAATGTGTTGTAAAATAACACTTGCAGGAAAACATTAATGAAGAGTGCTAAGCCTTGGAAAATTGATGGGGGGCGGTTAAATACAGCCCACAGAAAAACAAAAGAAAAACCATTGCATGTAGCTCACAGATGACTTTGTCATACTTTTTCAATCCTGATTCCACCCGAGGTTACAGCAATCTTCGTAGCTTGAGAGTGCTGGTTTCATCACTGTCCGACCACAGGTTTAGCATGAAGACCTATACGGTGCGGATCAAGTCTTCGTAAGCTTGGCTGCACATTGTGTGTTTTGTGGGACGAACCGACATAACGGACCTAGTTGTTGACACCCAAGGGGGCTATTGTCCCAACAGCGGATATGCGAGTTGTACCACTATTGCGGGCGTGTGCGTGTGGCTGTAATTATGGCTCAGTAACAAGAAGCTACAAAGGGTCGGCTACTAGAAGCAAGGACGCTACTAGTAGCTCGTGTCCTTACTACTAGTAACAAGAAGCTGTGTGGAGATAGCTCCAAGTTGTCCAAGTTGCCCTTGGGAGCTTCTTGGGCCACAGGGCGCAGGCCGGATGGTGGCAACCGAGTGATGCAGAAACCAAAGGCAGCTCAACGTAGAGCAGCACTGTGTGTCCCGTGCAGACCGATGGAATGTTTTAAAAAATCTGAGATGCTGCCTGACTGGCATCAAACATGTGGCCGTTGGAACTTGCCTGAATCATGGCACCACATGGCACCACCCATAGAGCAAGCATGTGGCTTCGTGTCCAAGTCGTTCTGACAGCTTGAAGGAATAAACGATGTGACATGCAAAGCTACCAGACCAGTGGTGCCCAGCTTCGCAAGTCCGCCCCGCGACGTACCACATGCAACTCTCCCACGTGCGCTGACATACAGTAGGAGCTCAGAGAGCAAAGGGAGCATGACATAGGTTGTTCCATGTTGTTCCCCCAGTCAACAGATGTGCCACTTGCCTGCATTGGTGGACATGTGTAGAATACTTGGGCGCGATCCGCGGTGCTTTACCATTCTCGTCAGGTGATCGGGTTGTCTCCATGAGTTTTGCTCGTGGCTCCAACTTTGCTTTTTGCCGCAAGCCACTGCACCAAAGACTCCCTCCAGCATGGTTGAGTTGGCAGGTACGAATTGTTTTGTCAGTAGCCTTTGTCTTATGTGGAATCATTGTATTTAGGGTGCATGAACCTGTTTAAAGTAGCGATGTCCGACAACGAGGCACCCCGTTGTGATCCGCTTGAGTCGTTGCAGTCTAGTGGCACATCATTCCGGCCAGACTCGAGCTGCTCTTGATGTCTCGTGGTATGCGCTGTGCAGCATGCCAGCCTGCGCTCCCAAGAACAAGAACCTGCCGTGAGAATCACAACTTGGCTGTTGGCATCCTTTGCTGACATAACTTGGCTGTTGTCCTAATTTGGTGCAGTGCTTGAGTAGGGCGACATGCCCCTTACCAACGGCCATTTGGTTGCGAGTGTCATTTGCCCATGCTTTTCGGGGAACACAAGTGTGGGTCAACTCCGAAGACCCTAAAGATCACCATCGGTGAACGAGCTGAACACCAGTGGTGAGGAGTCATGGACACGAAGTGAGTGACCTTGAAGATTTGTTCACTAGCACTTCCCTTGTAGAGTTCTATGGGGTTCTAGTTTACGGCCAAATGCCTTAGTTCATGCAAATGTTGGTCCAACAGACACGAAGTCGAACTAGCCTTGGGACTGTGTGGAGGAGTAAAGGCTACTTCAAGACAACAGCGAAGCCAGCACTCACACTAAACAGAAATCGACTTCAAGCGTGATATTCCAACATATTCCCATACAACATATTCATGATGTTCCCATATTTTCCCATATTATTCGTCCATGACTCGCTGTTCCTGGCACTGCTGCGATCCACCCACCGCCCCCCAGCGAGGCCGCCGTTGGTACTGGGCCCCGTGGAGTGTGATGTCATTGACCCCGAGCGTTCGACCTGGCGGCTCTCACCGCCGCTTGGGAAGCGATGGCGTGAGAGAAGACTCATAAAAGTTCATAGTGTATATAGAACTCTTGATTAATATCTAGCCCTTCCCATTTGGATTGCAAAGCCTCTTCATGTGGGGGGTTTATTAATCAAGAGTCTACAGTCTACATTGATAATATGAGGCAAGATTCAACAGGGTCAGTCCCGTTTTGTGACTCAACTTGCGACTTCGGGGCCCAGAGAGTATAGTGCAAGTTGTGGGCTTGGCGGTTCTGGGACTTTTGGATCTCTATCGCCTTTTTTCCCCTCTCCACTGCCATGAACTTTGAAGAACGGGAGCGTGTGTAGATGGAGAGGTTGGATGATCATGGGACAATTGGCAAGGGATCATTTGGTGATTTGCCGGTGTCCATCTCTTCCAGAAAGAGAAACAGCTTATGAGATGATCGTTTTGAGGCGACAGATGCAGCCGGCATGACCATTCCGAATTGGTTTTTGGACATGTTGCGTTTCAGCAAGACTTAGCCGGGTGGAAATGCTCTCAACTCGTTCATTTCCAAGAACTGCATGTTTGCTTTGCTTTTGGGTCCCGGCACAGCCACCGGACCTGGCGGCCTTTGCCCGCCGTCCCTCACCTCTTCGTGCCCACCTGAGGGGGAAGCGGCTCACCCTGTCGCTCATGCTGTCGGAGGCCGGAAAGATCAACCACAAGAACAAGAAGAGTCTTGGCTCAACCGGAATGGGGATCGGCTGGAGATTCTTGGACAAGAAGAGTCTTGGCTGGGGGAATTGTACAAGATCAACCGGAGTGGGAATGGCTGGGGGAATTGGACATGGCTGGGGATCTTTTTCGTGTCTTTCACAGTGGTGTCTTTGGGGGGTTGATGAACCACACCACACATGTAGCCCTGGAGTGTTGTGAAATCGTCAAAGTGAACTTGTCCATAAGTGGGACAGTGAATGGGCCCCCCTATTGGTGTGGTGGGTTCTGAAGAAGTACAGTAGGTCAAGGAGACTTCTAGACATGCAATGCAAGGAGGCAAGGCATGGCAGAACACTCGCTTGTGACGCTTTGCTGGTGACGTTGTTCAGGTATTTGGAAATGGGTTCAGACTTGGTGCAGCGGAGATTTACTTCTGCCCATATAGTTGGCTTTAGCAACTTTGCAACCCGACTCTAAAAGACTTGCCTTCTGGGCCGGCAACGATGCAGATAGCCAGAGAGAGAGAAAGAGAAACTGAGGAGAGCATATATCGAAAGAGCATTGAACAGAAGGGAGCGTAAGTCATTCTTTATTGCAGGAAGCAGGTGCTGCACATGTTTTTAAAGCGCTGGCGGCCACCAATCGCACGGCACCCTGGACCTGAAAAGCCATTCCACCGACCTCGGTTTCTGTGACTGCCCACTTGGGTGGGTTGGGAAAAACAGTCCTGTTACTTCCCGAATCCACAGACTGCCCAGGTTTCTGTAGAAGTCTTTGGAGTCCATCTTGGACCTGAAGAGAGATATCTTTGTTCGGAAGTCAGACTTGGACCTGAAGAGATGTTCATCGAGCGGTCAGCCAGGAGGTGGGATGAGCTTGAAGCCAAGATGAAGGCTGACAAGGACTGACGGAGTAGAGTCCTGGACCTGCTATCCCCTGCACCCGTTGAGGGGTCTCGGTCGGGAAGAACGACGGTTGTTCTTTTTGGAGAGGTGTGGTTGATTACTTTTACGTGTTTCTTTCTGGTTTGTACAATCCCACTTTTTGCTTTGGAAACACGAGTCAGTAGCTGAAGTTGAATTCGGGTAGAACAGCAATGCAAAGAATATGATCATCTCTTGACATGTTTTAGTGTACCACGTCTTTCCTAATGATTGGTTAGGTGTGCAGCGCAGAGCCAGTCTAGCCTTTGCGCCGAATGACCCAGGAGAGTGGCATCAAACCCACTCCGCCAGAACCCGTGGTGCAGAAGCAGGGCGTCCTAGACTCCCAGGGTGCTGTCCCGTGACCTGTTTGGTCGGTCGGCATGGACGACCTTGACCAAAAACCGCGTCGTCTATGGGAATGATGGGAAGATTTGATGAGACAAGACCAACAAGGCCCGCGTTTTCGTGTCCTGTGTTGATGCGCGCAGAGTTTACCGCGATGAAAGCGAACTCCACTATTGCTTTCCACCAAAAAGAGGCAGACAACTAGTAATGCAGACATAGGCAACTTGTAATTGTAATACTTGTAAATGGTTTCTGCTGCAGTGCCTGAAGTCCTTCAAAGGCCTTTGACAAATACATTGCTGTGTGATCCCATATCATACAGTCCTAAAGGAGTCCTACAATGCCAACATGTTCGCCACGAAATAGTCCCAGCGACCGAGTGGAGTTGGCGAGAGGCAGCTGGAGCGTTTCCCCCAACTCAGTGTTCTTATGGCAAGCCTTCAAGTCACCGAGCAGAAACATCAGATGAGAAAGTTTGCCAAGCCTGCCCATTCCTGAAAAAGTTGTTGTTGGGCACCCTCGACAGCAAGCAATGCTGATCGGCTTGAGCTTCTGGGTGAGACAAAAGAAGACCGACAGACAGAACAAGATTGGCCTCTCAGTGCCGACTGAGGCCCAGAGCCAACAGTGATCGCTACAGGTCCTATGTCATTGCTTTCTTACTGGCCCTTTTTGCCATTGGCTTGGGCTTGGTTTTTGCTCCGCGATAGTGCGTTGAATCATCCTTGAATCATCCTGCAAAAAGCACATGATTCATGTTGCAAAAACATTCTCGACCAAAGATAGGTCAGTGGCGACTGCCCGAGAGTGAGGCTGTCCCTCGAGGTTGCTTGCGAAATGTGAAGAGTTTGATTTTGAGGGCTGGAGAAGGGAGGCCAATACTTTCGAGGCAGAAGCAAACGTAGATATGTTCATTTAGTTTGGATTGTCACTAGGTGTTTTCCATGTCGCCAAATGTGGGACTAAAAAGGGATGAAACCATGAACCATGCGGGACCATGCGTGGGTTTGTGAATCACAAGCTGTGCAATCATGTGCAATCCACATCCCTGCGATCTACTGGATCCAATGGATTTGTGCCAAAGAGGCTCCTTGAAGATCCGGGCACACGTGGCCAAAGGGAACCCATGTGCCTTCAGCAAAGACCAAGACCTTTGAAAGCGCACGGTGCGGAAGAAAGTGGAAATCATATTCGGCTTGAGCTTGCTTCGAAGTGGAGTGTGGATGGGGCGATCTCCCGGTTCAACTCTTAAGGGCTTTAACAGTAAGACTGTGTGTCTAGACAAGTTTGCTGTAGCGCACGTGGATATTAGTGAGTCATCTCAGCTTCACTTTCGGTTGGATCCTGATCACCTCGCTGGGGGCCAATCGTCGAACCGTCACTGTCACCCCGCTTGGTGTGAAAAGCAGGGCGACTTGCAGAAACCGGTCACGCCGTCTTCCTTCGCAGGCCCGCACCGTGGCCAAGATCGCCGGGAGCCGAGTTCCGGGGGTTGGTGAGCGAAACGAAGCAGCGGACATGTTGCACGGCCAATTTTCTCGGGTTTGAGACCGGTCAGTCACATAAATGGAAGAGCGAAACGAAGGGCACCGCAGAACATCGCAGGGCTCTTTTCAGGTCAGAAACTGTTTTCAAAGAACGCATTAACTGCGTGATCTTCAATTTTGCTGACCCGAGGTGGTCAGTGGTCACGTGGAGAAGCAGCGTCACTTCCCCTCGAACCTCGGGGCCGGGACGACGAGGGTAGAGGGTTTCGTGAACGTTTGATTCTAAGTGGTAGTGAAGTAGTTAAGAGAGTCCTAGAAGTGATTTCGTTTAAGCTACTCGCAGTCACCAGCGGACCTTTGGCATGGTCGAGCGGCTTGCGAATTGGTGGATTTTGCAAACGGCTGTGGCTTGCGAATTCGCTGGGCCTGCGACGACTCCGTGCTCAAAGACCGAGGGCGGCGTCAGGGCGGACGTTGTTCCGCAAGAGGACATGCAGTCGCAGGATGGCACCGATGACCTCACAGCAGTGGTGGATTTAGGTCAAAACCTAGAAGCAGTTGTATAACAGTCCCGATGGTTTACCTACCACCCCCCCAAGAAGAATCAAAAAGAAACGAATGGCCCCAACGTTCTAGTGAGATCTCAAGCAACGATGAAGCCGCGAGGTCTGTGACACCCTTTCAGCCACCAATGCAGCCGCCAGGCGCCCGGGGCTCCCATCGGCTTCTCCTGGAGTGGAACACTCGGACCGCGTGGATTCGGAGCGTCGACCGTGGGGTGTAGCGGAGCATGTTCACCTTTCGCGGGCGGCCTAGACCGACGAACTCTGTTCGCCCAGGCGCTACTGGGACCTTGGACCATCTCATGCCCCATGTTCAAAGCACTAAGGCGAAGGGATTTGAGCAGGACCGGCGGGTTTTAGAGGGGCACACCACCGAAAAGATCATCAGGGCGGGGCATGATCATAGGAACAAGAACTCTGGAGCATGACAGTATCATACCTGACTGTAAATCACTTTGGTGATGCCAGTGAAGTGAACCTGTCAACACTGTGGATTCCGCAAGTCCTCTCTTGATGGAGCCGAGAGAGAGGCGCCAAGGAACGTGAGCCTTGCAGAAGGCAGTGGTTGCTGGGCGGCCTAGACTTTCAGTTTTGCTCCGCACTAGTGGTGTGGAAATGGCAGGGTCCCTAGTGCACTTTGAGCCTTACTTGTCACAGGTCCCCTGAGACTTGTTCAATTGTTCTTCTTTACGCGATAGCTCGCGATAGCATTTGAGAATTGGTCCCCCCATGTGAGGGTTCTGACGCGCCCCCCTTGAGCCTTCTGCGAAGTCAACGGTTCTTTGTCTTCGAGGGGGTTGAGAGGGCCCTGACAGGACCGGGAGGTGGTAAGGAGGACAAAACACATGCGTTGCTTCGTGATGCCAAAGAGAGAATGGAACCTACTGCAATTCTGTTTTAAAAAATAGAATTGTTAGAACCCAAGTGCCATTCAGAGAGAAAAAGGATGAATTTCTTGTTGCATTTGAGCACATCAAAGGTGGATATCACAGATAGATTTCGAGCATTGTTCAGGAGCCTGAAAGGGGAGTACTATTAGTACTATCATGTACTATCTAGCTCCGCGACACAGAAATGCCTGAGATGTGTGTTGACTAGTGGAGCCGCCCTCAACCTTCCCAATTGTGTTAATCATTGTTAGCTTGAAAGCATGCTTCCCAGAGGGTAGGTTTATGTAGGTGTCATTGATGTGGACAACTTTTTTCTAAGTTGCTTGACACTTGCAGTATTTTGCAATGATTGCAAGCATTGTCACTGTTCCATGAAAATCCTTTGGCACTCACTTCCACCGCAGTACACGAGGCTTGCCGCTGCAGAGTGAAGTGAAGCTTCCAGCTGCTACGGCGGCTGAGCTGTACCAGGGACGGTTGAGCTGCTGGTTCCACAACTTCCCTGGCTCCCTAGTTGGCCCCTGCAACTCTTTTCAACCAAGAATGTCAGAAAAATGGGTCCGCGTTTGTGGCCTTTGATGCGGTCCTCTTTTCTCGTGTTTTCATGTGTGTTCTGTTTATTTATTCAAGCGGGTTAGCGCAGTTTCCTTCACAAGATGTAGCCGGTCACATTGTTTTTTTCTCCGGTTTGAGCAACATAACTTACCTCGGCTCTACCCTTCAACAATTATGGGTACATGGAACTCGGTCCGCGGAAGCCTGCCATTGTATATAGAGAGTCTCTTATATACATTATATACGAAAAACATATGCAGCGTGCGCACATATACATGTATATAACATATTAATATATATATATATGCGAAAGTGTGATATGAATACATAAACACATATGTAACATGTATGTGTTTGTTGTTGTGTGGATTTATTGGTAGAATGTAGGTGAGCGATGTAAATGGGCGAGGCGAGGGGGGGAGTTTCGTCAAGATCTTGGTTTCTCCAAGATCTTGGCACTGCTCCACACAGCTTTGTTCTTTCTATACAGTGTGTTTTCACTGGCTTGTGGACAGAGCCAAGCCCATGCAAAAGTAGTTTCCAGCCAAATGACAACCTCAATCAATGCTGACAGTTTAACCCAATTAAACGATGACAGCGTGACCACAAGCTAGACAAGATTGAAATACACATATTAACGATATTGTTAAACAAGTTCACTCAACTTTGATGATGTACTTGCTCAATGTCAAGCTGCATATGTGGCTCGAATCGCGCACACAACTTGGTCTTTGGGTTGGCTAGCTGTGGATGATGTGCTTCCACTGCCACATAAGGACAGGTAAAACAATTGAACAAAGACTTTGGGTTGTTGCTTTTTTGCTTGTTGCTTTTGGAGCACAACGTATGCTGAGGGTAGCTTTTCCCAGTTGATGCACCAAAGTCTGACCAGCGAACTCGAACACCGAGGAACACTGACCCCGAAAACCATAACTCAATCCCAGGGTCCAGCCGCTTTTTTAGGCAATTCGGCCAACAAACAGGTCATTTTGTGTGAGGGTTGTTGGCAGATGCTTTCCTCTGATTTTTCTATGCTGAGGCCTGCATGTACTACCAGAAGTTGAATGCCTCCCAGAAGAGCTTCTTGGGGGTGGACAAGAAATGATTCCGATAAGTTTTTGCTCTCGCCATTTTGCAAGAGCTCGAGACATTGCCAACTGCCACTGGAACGAGCCCGGTTTCATCGTATAGAATCTTAGATTTGATTTGCAGCTTGTGACTTCTTCAGGCGTCACAGGAGGCCAGGTGCGTTTGTCAATGTAGGGACATCCCGAAAGGAAGAATCCTTCAGGAAGCACATTCAGTTGGCAAGTGGTGTCTCTTGATCAGCGTGTCCAACTGACAAAGGTCGGTGAAGCCTTGGAGGCTTTGGACCTTAATGCCTTGAGGTCGTCCATAAGCCCACAAGCCCTAAACAGGCCCTAACAGGGACACGATGCATCCAGGATTTCGGGATCCAAGATGAACCATGACAAGATGTTGACTCGTGAAGCCGACCTTCGAGCATTCACCTGGTTTACGGCCCGTTTTCGCACCACGCAAAGGAGGCGACTGGGGCGGAGAACACATGTTATATAGTGGAAATCGGAGTCTATAAACCACCCTCAAAGGGTGGTGCTGCTATCATATACACCCCTCTCTATATCAAAAATTGGGTATATAAGATGGTTAAGCATGCATGTATAGGGCCTTTGTTTTCTTTTTCTTTGTTTTTTCGGCAGATGCGATGGCGTTGGTCTCACCTTCCCCCCTTCGCGTCCTCGCCCCGGAGGCCGGTGAAACCGGCGGGAAACGACGCGATGGGGCCGGAAAAAGGGCGTGGTTTGGTGGGCGAATGGCACTTTATCATAATTATTTGTTCCTAGTAGCGTCCTTGCTCCTAGTAGCGATGCCCTTTGTTCCTAGTAGCTTCTTGTTCCTAGTAGTAAGGGGCTCCTATACTAGTAGCGATGCCGTTTGCTCCTAGTAGCGTCCTTGCTCCTAGTAGCGATGCCCTTTGTTCCTAGTAGCTTCTTGTTCCTAGTAGTAAGGGGCTCCTAGTAGCGATGCCGTTTGCTCCTAGTAGCG